GTAAAGGCGAAAATGTAAATAAAACCTTTCTTGCGATAATCCGTAATGCGGGATACGTAACAGGCATATCTGTTTAGAGACAGCATAGCTGATATCGTTTCTAAACTATACCTGAAGTTATTTGTTCTTGTAATATAACATCCGTTTCTTCAACGTAACCATGTAGATTGATTGACCATTGTCGTATTACCATATTCAAAATATACTTAAATCTTATTTCAAAATCGGCATAGACATTTAAACGTTTTTTTTTCCTGGCAGATTATCTGTGACAAATTGGGAAACTGGGTAAATCCGCCACGTCCAATGCTATGCTTCATTAATTAAATTTTTACAAGAAATGTTATCAAATCTACACTGGCACCTTGTAACTGCAAGTAAACCTCATTCGATTTACTTAATAAAGGCAATGTATGGTTTGCAGTTGATTAAACTTTGTTTTAAAATTGGATCTTTAGCATTTAAAAACTTTAAAATAGTATCAAAAAGAGTAAAAGATCTCAAATATAAAATTTAGGAAGCCAGCTTACTTTAGAGTGAAGAAGCAATTGATGAAAGATTTTGTCCTTTTTGTCACGAAACTGAGCAAATAATCGCATATTTATTGAGTTGCTTTAAATTCGGTTTACTGCGTTAATGATAAAATGAAGACATTTATGCAATCTACTACTCAGATTTTCGACAACTAAATGTTGGAAAGCTAAGTCGAAACCAGCTTATATGAGATCAACTATCATGGACCTCCGTTTATATCTCACATGAACCTCTTGTAGGTCATCGTCGATCCCTGAGGGTCTATATAGATCACATTTGGTATTATCAGTTTAAACAAAAGTTATTTACTTTTTATAAATAAACAATATGTCGCATTTAAAAATATATACTTCTATTAAAAAAAAAAAAACAAAGTTGAATCTGAAATGATATTGAAGGTCATGAGCAAAAAAACTTAAAGAACGGTATGAATATCTGTACCTGAGAGTATTAACTCACAAAAATTAAATTTCACAGTATAGCAATTTGAAATTTTTTATAGACACGAAAGTAACACAAAATACTAACAGCTCAAAACATAGTGAACAACTGGTGCAAAAAGAAACAATTGTCCATTAACGCACAAAAAACAACAGCTGTACCATTTACAAAAAAACGGGTACTAACAGGAGTAAGACCACTAGTACTAAACAACATAGTTATACCATTCGTCAAATACTTTGGAGTCATCTTTGACCAAAGGCTAACGTGGAATCAACATCTCAAAAAACTCACATACAAAGCTACAATACCTCTCGTAAGCTGTAGAAGAATATGTGGAAAAAACTGGGGTCTAAACCCCAAAATGACCATATGGTTAGACACATGATAACCTATGGCACAGTGGCGTGGGGAACCAAAACCGCACAGGCAAGTGCAATAGGCCAACTCACTAGCATTCAGCGGCTTGCCTGTCTAAGTGCTACTGGGGCCATGCGCCCTACGCCGACTGCATCAATGGAGGTATTATTAAATCTCACGCCAATGCACATCTTCATACAAGGGGAAACCAGGTCAACTATTCACAGGATAATGCATGGACAAAACCCAATAAGCCAACTACATAGCGCCAACCACACAAGGCTATATCAGTAAATAAAAAGAGAGATAATATTCTAGCTATGCCTACTGATAGAGCCATAACCACATACAAATTTGAAAGAAATTTTCAAATTTAAATACCAGCCCGAGAATTCTGGAAACAGAAACATCCCGTACAGGCTGAACTTGTCTGGTACACAGATGGTTCAAAAACCAAGGAAGGAGCCGGTGCTGGAATCTATGGACCCAAGTCGAAAACAACGATTTTGCTGAGTTTAGGAAAATATGCAACAGTGTTCCAGCTGAGCTAATAGCCATACAACACTGCGCAAAATAAATATTAAATCAGCAAGTATCAGGCAAAACTATTGCCATATACTCTGATAGCCGAGCGGCTCTTAAGGCAATTCTCTCACCAGAAATTAAATCACGACTGGTGAAAGACTGTTTAGGAGACCTGACAGAGCTAAGTAGTCAAAATAAGGTGAGTAGCCTGAGTTCCAGGCCATACGGGATATCAGGGCAACGAAAAGGCCGACGAATTGGCCCGAGAAGGCTCAGATAAGGTCATGACAGGCCACGAACCCTTCGGTGGAGTTGCTAAGGCATTGTGCAAGGCATCCATTAAACAATGAATGCAAAAAAGAGTCTCAGGAATGGTGAAACAACTATCCAAGACTGAGACTGACCAAATGGTTCATCAATAAACCATCGGCCAAGTTTACGAAAGACCTACTTTTATCAAAAGCGTCAAACCGTTAAGACAACAGTAGGCCTTCGTACTGGACACTGTCGCTTCAAAAGGCACGTAAGTGTGATCAATCCAGCACAAGATGCAACTTTGTGCAGGTTCTGTGAAGAAGAGGAAGAGGAAACATCATTCCACGTCCTGTGCCAATGTAAAGGCCTGGCTGGAATGAGGTTTCTAACATTGGGCGAAGAAAAGCCAAATGCATGCAACTACATGCGGGAGCCACTGTCAAAGCTACTTAGTCTAATAAAAAATACCAGGCTAGATGACTTGCTCTAAAACAAACGGAGTCCCACAATAGATCTGAAAAGGTCACGGTGGACAAGGACAAATAACGTCCAACTCCTAATCTAGTCTAATCTAATCTAACACAAAATAGTTATTTATCAACTATTTAAAAAAATATATAAACCTAGTAATATAATGTGGATACCCTAAAATATTTGATTATTTTTGTCAAAAAATAATTAAGAAGACAATCAAATGGAGTTAATTCTATTGGGCTCTAATATTTGGACTTATACTGTATTAAATCCTTATTTTGAAAAATAAAAATGGAGTTGATATGGGCAATAAAATACTGTGAACGTATTCTATAATTATTTTTAATGATTGCAAGGTAAAAAAAGTGCCATAAACTAAAGATAAAATATTGTTGATTATAAAATATCATTAATTGCCTTATCAGAATAAGCTAAATTTTTGTAAAAATCATGAGATACTTGAAACCCACGGCAATAAAGACTGTAGGTGGGTATATTAATGAATCGAAATTTAATTTCCGTTCTACCGAATTTGCGACAAAACCTATGAAATCGAGACAGTCAAACGTGATTGCCTTAAAATGTGTTTTAAAATATAATACGCCTATATTTTCACTAGGTGTACTACGTCTGACATACGAAAATCTTCATTTTTCTCAGTTTTCTTAGGTACTACAAACCGTGAGCTACTAGAAATGTACAAAGATTTAAAAGCTTTAAAGTCGGATACTTCTATATTAACAACATTAAAAGGTTGTGACCGGCAGCACAGCCTTGCTAGTTGCTGCCAGTTCCAGGGCGTCTTTACTTTTAAAAGTTGGGTTATCTTCCTCTTAAAAAGGAATGGTTGCCATCGACCTCCAAATACGTATGGCCACGTAGCAGAAATTTGTGGTTAATCTTTGTTATATTTGGATACTTTTTTTAAGATCCAAAAGTATACCATTACCATAATCATCATATTACGGTCTTGTGATAAGCAGTTATCTGACCAGATAGTAATCTCTTGTACGCTTTGACTAAAATTTGATTTGCGTCACATCCAGACTAGGATTCATCCCACATGATACACGGTCTTTCAGCAGAATCTTATATAGTGTAGTTGTATGTCCACGTCCACAACTTGAGTTTATAAAGGCTTTGTTGATTTGTTAGTACGAACGTAGGTAGACATTTATGTAGATCTACAGTAACGAATTTTAGTTTTTCATCACTTTGTATGATTGTAGTACCGGAAACTTCTTAATTATATGATCTCAAACTCTTTTACGAATTCAGAAATTTTGTTTACCGAGATGTGTTTACCACTTTGATCAACTTTTACTATTCCGATATTTGTCAAATTGCCGTTGTGACAAAAGTTTCTGCAATATTTACAGTTGAAAGAAAAAACTTTTGGCAAATATTTACTGAAATATTAATAACTTAAAAAAATAGTTTTTGGTGAAAGACCTTTTACCGGTCCGTTTTTAATTTGATGCACGTATACGCATTATTGGAACGCACTCTAACATAGGGTCTACAAACTGTCGTTTTAAGTTCATACTTTTATCAGGATTTTAAAACATTGAATGAATAGCCTGTCTGTGCTATTCAGATATTTTTGTCAGACATGTTAAATGGTAGGTATCTTTACATGACAGACCGAATTATTTTGTTTCTACAATGCCGCAGTTAGTTTTTCTCTCTAACTTTCCTACAACCTTCGTTAAACTAAATAATGTATTATGTCCACACGAAAAATGTATTAACAATATTAACTCCATAATACTCTCTTGCTCGGAAAAGTTTGAGGATATCATACTGTTTAATTCTACATAACTTCAAAAAAATATATATTAGGACTTAATACTATTTCAATATGAAAGAGCAGGTTAATAGCGATTTAAAAAAAAAAAAATGGAGTTAATACAGTTTGACAGGGGATGGGTGGCTCAGTGGTAGAGTCTCTGCCTGTGGATTCAAGGGTCCCAGGTTCGAATCCCACCGTTGGCCGGGATTTTTTTAATTAATTTAATTGCCTTGGTAGGATTCCCTCACTGTTGGGTTCTAATTAACAGTGCTGTTCCTAAAGTGGCGCTGGAAAACAGTAACAAAGCCTACACAGAACACGAGGCGAAATAACCTTAGCAGTTGAAGCCGATGACATAAAAAAAATATAGTTTGGCTCTCAGGTACAAATATAGTCTTTATAAATTTAATTTGCTTTTATTTAAAACTTTGTTTTTTAAATATACATGATTATTACTTAGACCATGTAGACTAAAACTTGAGATACTTGTACATGCATTTTAAAATTTCCACACTGTATTAATAAAAATGTGGCACATATTTGAAGTCATTTATTGCATTTATGATGATGGCTACGTTTAAGAAGTTTAATACCCTTCACCATTAATTATTATTTTTAGGTATACGTTGGATCGTCGAGACGGTTGTGACGACGATGACAGTGATGGTCAAGTGGGCATTTTTCCGAAAGGAGTTGATATTAATAATGCCGGCGAGAATAACAAATTTTCGTTTAACATTACTACAGGACTTTTAACAGTTTGCGGAGGTAAATGCGTTTACATAACGGAAGAAGGAAAAAAATTAAATACTACAAACGACTGTAGTTCGGTTAAAGATAAAAGTTTTTATGTCGACATCACAACTAAAACAATAAGATCATTGTTCCGTCATAAAAAAGAAGACTAAGGAATATTATTGTGTTAATTATTATCTAATTGTAACAGAACTTTAGAAAGTATTATAAATAAATATAGGTATATTGAAAAAACGTTTCAACTAAATCATTTGTGTATTCCCTCGATACTTTTTTTTATCCTTTTCATCCTTTTCTTAATTTTGCGCATAATAAGTAAAAGCATTCTATTTTTGATCATATTCTTTGCATTTGGTTACATTTCTTTTAAATTATTAAGAATATCACAGTAACACATTAGAATACTAGTAAATAATATAATATAACTAATGAGTTCACTAAAGCCGAATCAAATATCATAATGTCATCCGGAAAAAGAGTTCTCCTAAACTGTAAACATTACCACTGGGATGCAAACTGTAACACCCCTAACAAAAGTGGTAACGAATTCGCCGAGAGCGAAGATCTAATTATACATTACCCTGAAGAACCTACCCACTCCCACACAACGGTAATACCCACAGCACACTTGATATTGCAGTTACCAAAGACATTCTAAACGTTAACAATATAAGAACAGTTAAGACAATGACATCAGACCACGACCCTGTATATATGGAGATAAAAACCACTCGAATAGTCTCCAGAATACAGGGTAATACTACAATTACAAGAACACTAACTGACACAGATACAGAAAAACACTTGACGACATCATAGTTATAAACAATGACATCAACCATCACAAAGTACTAGAAGACGAATTTAGGAAACTGACGGACGCCATCAAGACAGCTAGAAATAGTACAACTAAATTAGTAAACATAAAACAATATAACGATGACATCCCACAGGATATACTGGACTTATTCACATACAAAAATAATGTACGCAAACGATGGCAAAACCACAGGATGGCCACTGACAGGGTTTGTATGCTAGAACTAGGAAAGAAAATTAATAACAGAATTAAAGAACATCGGAATAATAAGTGGAAACTTACCCTGGAAGCGGTTAACACACATGACAATTCAGTGTGGAAAGTGTGAGGAAGTTTAAAAAAACATACTCGGAACTTCCCACACGGAAATACAACGACACAGTATGCCTGACTGATGAACAAAAAGGTCGCACTCTCGGTGAATATTTCCAAGAAAATTTCACCAATCCTCAAACTTATAACGCCAAACAACAAGAAATCATAAATATTTGCAATGAAATTAAGAATCTTGGTATCCAACCTGTGCCTACGAACTTGCTTACCTCCCCTAAGGAAGTCGTGGAAGTTTTAAAGCGGTTTCACAATAGGAGGGCTCCGGGATCGGATGATATTCCGAATATCCTACTTAAAAATTTATCTATGAAAGCCATAGTACACCTACACTACTTGATTAACGCTATTATGAAACTGCAACACTACCCGGAATCTTTAAAAGTAGCCAATATAGTGCCGATTCATAAGGCAGGGAAGAACAAGGGGAAAGTACAAAATTATCGACCAATCTCTCTAGTTAACGGGGTTGCGAAGATAATAGATCACATCCTATTATCAAGACTCAAGACTTAAGAACAAGACAAAGAGATCATCCTGGCGAAACAGTATGGTTTTAGAGCCGGACACAGCACGATTGACCAAGTAATAAGAATTACGCACAACGCCAAAATGGCTTTTAATACCAATCAACAAACTGTGCTTGTTACACTCGATGCTGCGAAAGCTTTTGACACTGTCTGGACCGACGGGCTGATCTACAAAATGTTTGAGAACGACTACCCCGTTATCATTGTAAAAACAATACAAACGTACCTCCACAAAAACAATTCTACATCATGGCGCTGGGGTGTGATCGCTACACTAGAATTACAGACATACATGAGCAGGCATTCATGGAACCTATTAAGGAATTTATACTCAGATTATCTGAAAAGTTTTATTGTCTTCCTTATATGGTTTAGGAAGATATCATACGAATACATGAGGGGGATGGTGTAGTCAGAAAACATGGGTGCCTGCATCAAAACCTACAAATATACAGACAGGACGTGGGCTGAGCGCTGCTACTAACAAACTCACAGCAGCGAGCATTTCACTAAATAGCCGAATCACACCGACCACTAGCTAACAACTCTGGTCGGACGGAGGACTGCACGGTGACGTCATCAGCCAGAATTGAGATCGGAGAGGGAGCAGATGACTATCATAAAGTGTTAGCTGACATTAAACAAGAAAAAATTGCGTATCATACCTACACGCAGAAACAAGAAAAATCTCATGCATTTGTCTTGAGAGAACTAACCAAAGGCACTGAAATTGGGGACATAGAAGAAGACCTGATACTGAATTATGAAATTAAGCCACGGGAAATATTTCTAATGACTACAAAAAACAGACCACTGTGTTTGGTAGTGACGGACCCCGCACTGACGCTTGACTACCTAAATAAAAATGCCAGAGTAATTCTACACACACGCATCATATGGGAACTAAGGAGATGGTTAAGCTGCTTATCCAATGCTATAACTGTCAGATGTGGGGCCACGCGACGAGTAATTGTGGTAGACTTCCGAAATGTTTAAAATGCGCGGGTTATCACCTCACCCGAATATGTTCGAAATCCAGAGATTTACCTGTAAAATGTGTGAACTGTGGGGTGATCACCCCGCAAATTACACCAAATGTCAACAATATATAACGAGAGTAGAGAGGCTCGAGGAAAGAAAAAAAAAACCGGAACCTAAAAGGTATATTCAGGCCCCTCTACCAAAAATTAGTGCATGGGATAGAAAAGCACAAATTGATGCTGCCAAAAGACGACATAAAGACGACTTTCCTGCACTACCAAGCGAGTAGAAACTCAGAAGAACCAGCTGATAACAACACAAGATCACTTTCCAGTAATAACCAACCACATCCGAGAGGCCAGATGGACGATTTTCAAAGTCTGAACTGCAAGTTTGACGAACTTAACAGATTGGTTAATATCTTAAGAGCGGTGAAAGATCTCAACACACAACTACGAACTTGCCGCACTGACAGGGAAATCTTTGAGACGTATAGAATTTTTAATGACAACTTAAACTCTTACAAATTTAGAAACTGAACTAAATAACGGGAACAGAGTCAAATACAAAATCTGTTTTTATAATGCGAATGGGTTGCACAACAAGTTACTTCTTGTTTCATACACAAACATAAATTTGACATTATTTTGATTACGGACACGCGGCTAAAAGAAACGAACAAAGTAAAATTACGAGACTACACAATTTTGAGACTTGACATACCAGATAACACAGCAGCAGGAGAAGTAGTTTTCTATATTAATCATAAAATCATTTTTAACCAAATCAAAAACATAGACACCACCCTGGAGCATCTAATAATAAAAGTTGGTGACATAACTTTAACAGAATCATAGCGTCCGGCCCTAGGGTCATCTTGCTGGGTGATCTGAACAGTAAACACCCCGATTGGGACGCGAACTGCCATAGGAATAACACAAGTGGTACAGTTCTGAAAGAATTTTCCGAAAACAACGACCTTAACATACACTACACGGACGAACCTACCTATTTTCCTTTTAGTGGTCTTACCCCCAGCACCTTAGACAGCCGTTACAAAAAACATTCCAGACGTATACAACATGAGAACCATCTCGACCCTAAGCTTTGATCATGATTCAGTCTATTTAGAGATTAGAATAGCAAATAAAACTCAAAGAACTCAAGGTAGCTTCTTCGATTACTCCAAACATAACAGAGTTATGTTCAGACGGACCTTAGACACCAACTTTAACAGACCGGAAACCACACAAGGCATCGACATTAACTTAGAATCCTTTACAAACGCAATCAAATACTCTAGAGACAGAAGTACACAAAAAATACACGTCAAACCCTACAAAGTAATACTCACACAAGACATACTAGACACTATACACACAAAAAACACAATTAGGAAGAGATAGCAGATATACAAACAACCCGCTGACAGGATTATGCTCCTAGGTATCGCCAGACATATTAATACACAAATTCAAGAACTTAAAAATAAAAAACTGGCAGAAGGTCCTGGAAGCGGTTAATCCCAACGACAACTCAGTGTGGAGAATTGCTAATCACTTCAAAAAACCGTATTCGCAACTCTCCACACTAGTGAGAGGACATGAAACTTACTTCGGTGAATACTTTCAGAACATTTTCAAAAACGCACGAAACAATAACGAAAAACAACAATGAATTGAAAATTTCGTAACATAATTCCAAAACAGGCCCTCCCCAAATTTAACAGCTAATTACCTCACTACCCCCAAAGAAATCTAGGAAATACTGTCCAGGTTAAAAGGTAGGAAGGTCCCGGGTCCGGACGAAATCAATATCATCCTACTGAAAAACCTCTCAAAAAAAGCAATCGTTCAGATAAACCACATTGTAAATGCCGTCGTTAGACTACAATATTATCCTCCCACAATAAAAACTGCCAACGTCATCCCAATTAAAAAAGCTAACAAAAATCCCAAATCAGTAGACAGCTATCGTCCAATTTCACTGTTGTCTGGTATCTCAAAGATTATCGACAAGGTACTGCTAAAAGAACTACTTAACGTAGACAAGGACAAAAACATCATCCCGACGGAACAGTTCAGCTTCAGGGAGGGGCACAGTACTGTTGCACAAATTCTTAACATTCTACACCATGCCAAAAAGGCATTCAATAACAACAAACAAACAGTACTAGTGGCCCTTGACACCGAAAAAGCATTCAATATTGTCTGGACCTCCGGGTTGATCGTGGCTTGCCTCAATTTTTGTGCTGTTCGGGGATGCTTCGTGGGGTCTAGTGATTTGGTTAATTTATGCACACATAAACTACCACAAGACGTACTTACACACACGTACAATCCTGTTCTTTAATTGGTTTTTCAGGGACGATAGACACAATTAAAATCAGACAATAACTCATTACATTACCATTACCGGTATAGTTAGCCTATTTAAACTAATGTATTGTTTTCAATAAGGAGATATCACTAAAGTCATAATTCTTAAAAATAATTGACAAATAGAT